CAAAAACTCCAGATATTAGGAAAAAATCACTTAAGCAAACTTAAACTATGAAAAACACATGCTTATTAGCAAAAGCAATGGTAGGTTGTATACTAGTATTCATAAATTTTGAAAACACATTAGAAGAAGGATGACTTGCTCTAAATAATATTATATACTCATAAAAATACTTCCTGTCAGTTTATGAAAATAAATCTCTATGCAGCATCTTTATTTACTTGGATGTTTCTATTCTATTTCAAAGGGTAGTGTGAAAAAATTCAAGAGGGATCTCACAGCTTCAAGACAATTTGTTTTCAAATTGGTTATTGATAATGAACAAAGCTACTGCGTTGCAATAGAAGTTTTGAGAAACGTGTCATAATAAAGACAGAACACAAAAGCTTCTGAGAGTAGTGACCATGTATATATTTTGTCAACAACCTGTCCTCAGCCAGAAAGGAGCTAAATGCTACCTCTTCCGTTCATCACAGTTACCAGTAGAAACATCACTTCGCCACCTTTGGTGTTTTTGCGTTCAGTGGTTTGTTACCATCAGTAAAGGGGCAAGAAGCTTCTATAACAGAGTACCAAAGAGAAATTCAGTAAAATTGTATGCAACTGGAATTGCCCTCTTTGGTTTATTTTAAAAGTTATGCAATATTTAATGCATTCAAAGAACATGCATCATTTTCATGTAGAGTGTAAAGCAAAGTGAAATTAATACTCATGAATCTCTAAGATAAACTGAAGTCTAAATATTGCCTATTACTTTGACACCATTTTTAGAGTAGTCCACTTGAATACATCCCCTACTTTTCTTTCCCAGAGGTTATGAAGGTGTTGACTGTTGTGATAATTACCACAGTTAATTCAGGATTTAGACTTACTACTTAGTCATATATTCACAAGTAAAATTGCATTTGATTTTTTGTTTTTTGTTCTTGTGTTTTATAAAAATAGTGTCACACGTCCAGCGTTTGAATTTTTCATTCAAAATTTTATTTCTAAGATTCGTTAATGATATTTCATAGTCATCAGTAATTTGTGTTTGTCACTGTATACGATTCTGCTATGATATTGCACAATTTACTTATTTATTTGTACCAGTTATTCTTTTCAAGAGAAAACAATCCATTAGGTATAATATAGAATTCAAGACTGACATGACTCTTAAAAGAGATGGGCGAGCGGGGGGCGGGAGGGTACACACAGGACTTTAGGAAAGTTAGCATGTGTGGACAGTATAGATGTGAGCCTGAAACCTGTCAGCACCTACCTCTGGAGGTTATGGAAAGGTCTGTGGGGCGCCCATATCCACACAGTGAGAGATCATGTAGAAGTCAGTAAATCAGTCTGACCACCAGGGCTTGCCAAGAATAGTGGAATACAATTGTCTTTTGATTCTCATGCAACCTTAAGTTATTGGCAGAATCCAACACAAAAGGAAGAATATGTTGGAAAAAAAATCTGGGAATTGTTTTTGAGACATAAACAAGTGTTGGTATGGTATCCATTTGATAGCACACCATTCTTGAATTGATAGGCATTTTCACCCAATTATTTTTGCACTTCAAGTATTGCGACTTTGAATATTCTTGTACATGTGCTAACATTTCTCTAGAGATTTTTTAGGTTTATTGCATTCACATAAGTTTAATGCATTTATAGATTTACAAGACATTGCCAAAATGCTTGTATCTATTTACATTCCTACAAGCAGGGTCTAGCAGTTTACATGGACCCACATTCTGGCCATTGTTTGCTTTCTGACTTCTTCATTGCTTGCCATCATAGTGTATGTGAAATGATATTTCATTGTGGTCTTAAATTGATTTTTGTTTAAATTTTGATGAGGTTGAAGTGTTCATAACTTTTTGCTTTTGCCATTCTGCTCTTTTGTAAATGACATTTTTATAATTTTATCTACATATAATGTCTTTTCCTTATGTTTTTTTTTACTTATTTTTGTAAACTAATGCTATATTAGTAACATGTAATAGAAACAGTTTCCAACTTTGTAACATATTTTCACCTACATTGTAGTGTATTTTAATGAATGGATATTCTTAATTTTATACCTATTTTTTTAAAATATATTTTATTGATTTTTTTACAGAGAGGAAGAGAGAGGGATAGAGAGTTAGAAACATCAATGAGAGAATCATTGATCAACTGCCTCTTGCACACCCCTTGCTAGGGATGTGCCTGCAACCAAGGTACATGCCCTTGACCGGAATTGAACCTGGGACCCTTCAGTCCGCAGGCCCATGCTTTATCCACTGAGCCAAACTGGTTTTGGCTGGATACTCTTCATTTTAACTGAACTTTTATTTTACAGTTTGGAGATTTTAATGCCTTATTTTAGAACTCTTGGAAATTATTTCCCTCTATTTTCATTTTAGTCTATAATTCATCTATATATGTTTTTCATTATAGTTAAGGACATATTTTTATTTCTCTTACTATGAATAGTCAGTTGTGCTATGTGTTAAATAGGTCCTTCTTTTCTTGGCACATTCACAGTTTCCTATTATTGCTATAACAGTCACCACCGATTAAGTGGCTTAAAAAAACAACACACATTATTTTACTGTTACATGGACCAGAAGTCTGAAATGGTGATGATAGGCTAAAGTCTGTGTTGGTAAGGCTGCATTCCTCTGGAGGCTCCAGGAAAGCATCTTTTTCTTGACTTTTTTCAGTTTCTAGAAGCTGTCCTTATTCTTTGGCTCAGGGCGGGGCCCTTCCAAAATAGAATTGTATCCCTGCAACCTCTGACTCTGCTGCCCCCTTCTTACATTTATGTGGGGGTTGCACACACCTGGGTCATCCAGGATGATCTCTTCATCTCAGAACGCCTAATTCAATCACAATTGCAGCATCCCTTTTGCAAACTTAGTTACAGATCCTGGATATTAAGGGCATGGGGCTATCCGTAGATAGCCTCAGTGGCCATTAAAGTCACCTGGCATACAGAACTTTAATATCAGCAGAAGTCTGTTTCTGCATCCCATTGTTCTGATGTCTGTCTATGCCCTAGGTCTAGGACTACACTTATCATGTTTTCATAACTGACACAGTTTATAATGAATCATTGTATGTGATGGGAATAGCCTTAACTTACCCTTCTGCTTTGGAATGTTTTGGCTATTTTGGACTTTCACCTTTTCATATATATTTTAGAATAAGTTGGTAGATAAATTGCTTAAAATCCTATTGTGTTTGTAATTAGAATTGCTTTGAATTTATAGGTGTGATGAGAATATCAGAAATCTATGTAAATACTGAGGTTTCCATTTCATGAGCATGACCTATCTCAATTTATTTATATTCATTAGATGGCTTTATTAAAGTATTTTCTATATCTTAGATAATCTCCATAAAGAGTATGAACATACATAGCAAAATTTATTCTTAGGAAGTCTATTTTCACTTTTACTGCTGTCCTAGATAACATATCTTAATTTTTTTTTTTTTTTTTTGCTAATGATATGTTTTGGTATACATTTGAATATTGACTTTGTATAAAACACCTTGCTAAAGCACTTGATGAATTCTGTAATTACTTAAAGCTTTTTATGTACTTAATTATATAAACCATAAATGGTACTTGTTTTTTACATCCAAACACTCTTAACATTTACTTTATTCTGTGTTTGAGATATCAACAATGAGTAGAACACCAAGAAGATGAATCTTTACTTTGCTCCTGATATTATTTTACTAATTAAATAATACTATTATTACTGGTTTTCAGAAGACATCTTTTTTGGGGTAAAGGGAACTTTTGCTCATTTTGAAAATGATGTTTTTCATAGTGATTAGATTTTGTAAAAGCATTTTTCTGTTCAAATAAAATATTAATCTTTTCCCCATTAATTTATTAATGAGGAAATTGCAGTTGGGGTTTATAAATCTTAAACTATCTGTGTACCTATCCTATCTAATAAAGAGGGAATATGCTAATTGACCATCACACCTTCACAAAGATGATGGTGCCCACAGCCAATAAGGAGGGAATATGCTAATTGACTGCCATGCCATCAAAGATGGCCACACTACAGCCATAAGATGGCGGTACCCAGTCCCCTCAGCCCTGCCTGGGCAGTAGGTGTGCTGCACGCCTGCCTCTGGAATCCCCCCATTCCCTCAGCTCCCCAGCCACCCAAAGCTGGCCCGATGCAGGCAAGCCTCGAATGGTGGCTGCAATGCCGATGTCTGGGGCACAGGCAAGCCTCAGATGGTGGCTATCCAGTATCCAGGGCCAGCCCGAGACACGGGCAAGCCTGGAGGGTGACTCCCCAGCCTCCCAGGGATGCCCGAGGCTCAGGCAACCAGGGCCAGCTGAGGCTTGGGCTGCTGGCAGAGGCAGCAGCAGAGGTGTGATGGGGGCATCACCTTCTCCTGAGCACTGGGTCATCTCCCACCCTTGAGTGCTCCTGGATTGTGAAAGGGGGCAGGCCGGGCTAAGAGACCCCTCCCCCCTCCAATGCATGAATTTTCATGGACCAAGAATATAGTCTATGATAAAGATAACTCCAACATCAAGTTTGGGGTTTTTTTTTTGTTTTTTTTTTTTTGTTTTTGTGTGTGTGTGTGTGTGTGTGTGTGTGTGTGTGTGTGTGGTTTTAAATATATTTTATTGATTTTTTATAGAGAGGAAAGGAGAGGGATAGAGAGTTAGAAACATCAATGAAAGAGAAACATCCATTAGCTGCCTCCTGTTTAGCATATTACTAATTTGGCATTTATTTAGGAAGGTGCATCCCTTTTAAAATAGACACCAGATTAGAGATCAAAAATAGATTTTTTGTGTGTGTGCATGTATATGTATGTGAGTGTGTGTGTGTGTGTGTGTGTGTGTGTGTGTGTGTGTGTGTGTGAGGTGTGGTGTATATATGTATAGCATAAATTTTTTCTCAATGGTGAAGTTTGAAATACCCATAACCCCTTAATTATTCTTGGTGCAAATTCTTCTTCTGTGCCTTAAACACCATTCTATTGATTTTGTTTCCTAGTTCAATTTTGTGGGGAAATTGCTTGGACCAAGAGGAAACTCCTTGAAGAGGCTACAGGAAGAAACAGGTGCTAAAATGTCTATCCTGGGCAAAGGATCAATGAGAGACAAAGCAAAGGTACTGAACTTTGAATTTGATATTTAACACATACAGGAGGTTACCTGTGCCACTGATGGCCAGATTTACAAACACATCTCAATGGTTCTCCCATCATTTCCTATGAGTTTCATTCCTGGTGCCACTCTTGCCTTTCAGATATGTCCTCTATTTACATAAAAACAAATTATCAGCTCCTTTTTTTACAGAATATGTAATTTTGTATTTTTATCCTTTCTAATTCTTTGTGTAGATTATAATCATTTTTTGAGCATCTTCTGGGGGGATATTTCTATATGTGTATGCTTATTTTCTATAATTCCCTGGTCAGATCCCCTTTCTTTCTTCAACTGTGTCACCTAATCACGTACATTTTATCTCTCTGCTCTATTTCACTTTGATCTTTTTACCTGAGGCAATTTTATATACTTATCTCCCAATATAAGAGAGTACCACTTAAAAAAATACTTCAATGATATGAAACAACTTACCTGGCCCCATAAGAACAATAGCCTAAGAAATATGTCAACTTTGATGTTTGAAATGATTTATTGCACATCTGAACTTTATCATTTCTCCATTTTATAAATTGATAGCAATTGTCCGTGTGTTAGAATTCAACACTTTGGAAAAGAAGTATTTCTAGGGATGTATTCCTAAAGGAACATTTAAAATTCATTAAGAAATGGTGGGTGTTTTATGGTATTATCATTTGTCTACGCTATACTTTTCTAATTTGTTATGATATGAAAATAAAATGTTCATATATTTTTGTGACTATGGGTATTACTTAGACAACTGCTTAGGAATTGTGTCTTCAAACTATTAATGGAACATCTTAAATGAAGGAATTTATAATGAGAAATATCACAGAATTGGTGCATGTTGCATACATTATATATTTTACCTTAATTGTAATATTTTGATCAATGAGAGACAAAACAAAGTTTGAGGCAGACTCTCCAAATGAGTGCTGTGTTTGAAAGGACTGGTAGTTCATTTCATAAATTTCAACAGCATGCTTCTTACTAATCTCTTATTTTAAGTAACTTTTGATTACACTATACAGTATATAATTGCAAAAGTAAGTACATTATTGTCAATTCTCCTGCCTATAATTTCTCTGAGTACATGTAGAAGAAATAATAAAAGTATTTAAGAAGTGGTAACCCCAGTTATAAGCTTTTACCCTCTTCCAAAAATCTATTTAGATTTTTCTATAGGTGAAGACAGAATGACACCAAAATCTATATTTATTTGCTGTATATTCTTCCATAATTTTTTGTTTTATTTTCTCCAGATACTTCACACTCTTACAATATAAACTTGGTATTGTGTATTTTGATTTATAACAAATTCTTCAAGGTTTAGATCAGATATCATCTCCCCAGTAGTTTTCCTGAATAACTATAACAGGCTAACTACTCTATTTTCATGTCATACATTTTCCTGACATTTTCTGTTTTTCTTCTTAAACTATAAGCTTCCAGTCATTGTTCCAGTCATTTTTGCCAACCCAGGGGTTTTTATAGAGATGGGTGAATATTTTTTACTCACATATATTTTACATCTATATTTGGACATTTTTTCCTGTTCATAAAGTTTTAAATTGGAGGTCTTTTCCCTGTGAGCATATTAGGTCATGGCATGAATATTTAAAAATTTAGCATGAAGCAAATATGCTCCTATTAAATTTCTATTAGGTTTAAATTACAGATATTAGCCGTTATTTAAGGTCTGATTTTGCATTGGTTATTTTTTGGTGGTTCATCACGGTTGGCCATGCTTTGTGTATTTTTATTGTTGTTTTACAAAATAAAAACATTTAGTGATAACAGTAGTAATAATAATAATAATGTATGACACTATAAAATACATTTCTTTAGAATATAGATAAAACTTTAACTGCATAAGGTGTTGGACACACAGCTGAGATGAAAGTACACACATGGGTATGTAAAAGTTTACCTTAGTAAACACTTTAAAATTAAAAAAAAAATAACCATTGATAAATTTTATACTACTATGCTGATATCTGCTTATCTGCCACAAGGACTGGATAGGCGGGAATATTTTATATGATTTTCTTTTTCTAACTTAAACATAAAACTCGGTGGATTTTGCACTGGCGGCGTGTATGTGTTTATGTATATACGCAGCCACACGGGCATATATTTTTGCATTAATTGAAGTAGTTACTGGACAAACTGTGTGCCATTCACCATTCTAGTTGACAGGTAAAAAATGGAACAAAGTGGTGTTTGTCTTGGAGCTTACATTCCAGTGAGAGATAAAGAAAGTAAACACGTGAATAAGCGCATTTTATACTTTCAGGCATGGGTCATTATTATGGACTAGAGGCCCAGTGCACAATTCTTGCGCTGGGGGAGGGGAGGAGGAAGAGAGCTCTCAGCCCGGCCTATGCTCTATTGCATTCTGGGGCCCCCTTAAAGGATGTCTGACTGCTGCTGGGGAGTGGGCCTGAGCAGGCAAGCAAACATCCCCAGGGGGGTCCTTAGTGCTTCCTCAGAGGCAAGAGAGGCTCTCGCCACACCACTGAGTTCGCCAGGTGTGAGCCTGACTTCTGAGTGGCACTCCCCTTGTGGGAGCACACTGACTACCAGGTGGCAGCCCCTGCATTGAGCGTCTGTCCTCTGGTGGTCCATGCACATCATAGCGATCAGTTGTTCCACTGTTTGATTGATTTGCATATTAGCTTTTTATGATATAGGATTAAAATAAAACAGACTGGAAAAGAGGTTACTTGTGGTGGGAACAATATTTTTATACAATGATCAAGGAGGACTCTGCATAATGAAAAGGAACCAACTATAGAAAAATCAGAAATGAGAGACAGAATTTCAAGTTGCAAAGACTCCAAGGGAAAAATCTGTATTTTCATTTGTAACCACATCTGTGAAACTATTATTGTAGTCATATATTTGTTTATATAATAACTATGTTTATTCCCATTTAGCTACCACTTTATTTCTTTGCTCATCTTTATAGCAAAACTCATTGAAAGAGTTATTTACACTCAGTTAATGCTCATCCATTCTTTAAAGTTTTTTTCCTCAGTCCTCATGACTGGCTCCTCTTCTTCTTCTAGCCCTGCAAACCCAGGGTTTAGTCTTCAGACTTTTCTTCCCTTTTGTGATCTCATACCATTATATGTATGCATGCATGCATGTAAGAAGGCGTATGCATATGTATGTATATGAGTGGAATACATATATATTTAAATACATAAATGATATATATTTACTCATATATAAAGTAAATATAAATGCCACATAGAGAGAGAAAGAATAAACCAAGATATTAAAAGTGAGAGCTAGAAAGATTTAGAGAATTATCTTTGCCAACTTTTAGGACCTCAGTGAACACAATATGAATCATGTAAGTCTTGAGATTAAAGGATACCTCCTCTTTTTATTTTTTGTTTATTCAAAGGCAAAACTCATTGAAAAAGGAAATGAAAAACAGCTTGTATAAATTGAATGATGCTTGGTAGCTCAAGCCTACATAAGTAGTGGTGTTTGTTTGAAGATTATATCAGCAGGCATTAAGGAGCTCAATACACACTGCTAGTCTGTTTTTCAGAGTTGTATTCAATAAATACATATCCATCCATCAATCCATCCATCCATCCATCCATCCATCCATCCATCCATCCATCCATCCATAAACAATGACTCATTGAAACATACCAGGTGCTCCTTGTGCTCCTGCAGGCAAAGCCTGGTCAGCAGCTGAAGCCCCATAGTCAGATACTTTTGCAGACTAACCGGTCTAATAGCCTTGCTTATAATTACTGCCTTCACTCACCTTTCTAGGAAATATGCAGATGCTTTTCTATATTGGGATACTGCTGGAATGCTACTCAATGTATGTCATAAATTTGATCTTTACCCTGAAGGAGATATTTGGATAGTTGTCTAAGTCAGGACATAATAACTGTGCAAAAATATGTCTTACATATTTGCTATGTGCCCAAGTGTAGATAATTATGCAGTATAGAAAATAAGAATTAGACATGACTCAAGCCCTCACAGAACTTAATTAAACGGCCCGATCTGGCTAACACTTTGTTTAAAAAAGAAAAAGAAATGACCAATTATTTGAATTAGTATATGAAAGAAGGATAAACTCATTTGGTTTTGTTTTTTAGGTCTAATAAGACTTCTTAATCTTCAAAAAAATACAAAGTTTAAGATTTGTTACAAGATCATCATAAAATTAACTGCATAATATAGAAAATAGTTCTAGTGTTCTGGTGAAGTAAGATTATAACAAGTTGAATGTTTTTATTTATGATTTTTGTTTTTGGCAGTGATGGGTAAACATTTCTTTTTAGTTTGTTATACCTCGCGAATAACTCTACATGCAAAGAAAGAAAACAAAAATTAAATAAAATGTAGTAGTATCCAGGATAACACCAGTAGCAAAATCATACCTTATATTCATGTATTCATTTCCAAATTGGTCAAATCTCAGAAAATGTGAACTCCTATTCAACCTCAAACCAACTAGGAATTCTTGAAAAGAAGCTAAATTTTCATTTGTGTTGATAAAAGGTATCTTATAACATCTAGAAAGTAAAACATACAATATGTTTGCAATACTTGAAAATACCTGAGGAATTTAACTGGCAGTTCAGAAATGTCTTTTAAGTCTAAGCTCCTTATGCACCATATGGCCAGCTGGTTCTAAATAACCACACATCTGCCGGTTTCTCAAGCAGCAGCTTCTGAGGATTCTTCAGGAGTAACTGACTTTAGCTTCAGATAGAGTTGCTATTTTTAGTGATATGGATGCAAAGATGGTGAAGAAGAAGAGAGGAAACAGTGGTTCTACAGTCTTTTCTTTTTTCAAAATATATTTTTATTGACTTCAGAGAAGAAGGGAGAGGGAGAGAGAGATAGAAACTTCAGTAATGAGAAAGAATTATCTATCAGCTGCCTCTTGCATGCCTCCTACTGGGATCAAGCCACAACCCTGCCATGTGCCCTTGACTGGAA